CTAGCCCGTCCACTTGAGTCCACAACATCAATAGACAACTTCTGCTATGCGAATCTATGCGAATCCGTGCGAATCGTTTATTTCAAGCCTACTTTGTTTATATATCAGACAGACAGGCCACATCACACCATAAAATAGAAAATAATATTTGTACAAAACCTTCTTCTTATAAAACTCTCTTCATATGGAATACAGAATCCCCTTTTATCTTGGATCAAGTCATTTTTAGAAGAACGTAGCCAAATTGTCCGCTTTGGATCTTGCTACTCCAAACCTGTGAATGTAACCAGTGGGGTTATACAAGGAAGTGTAATTGGTCCATTATTATTTCTCCTTTTTATCAATGACGTTTGCTCCCTCTTTCAATATGGTAAACCCTTTCTTTTTGCCGATGATCTAAACGTGGTTTATTCATTCTCATCTCCCACCAAAGAAAGCCATATTTCAACGGTAATCCAAGAGGAAATAAACAAGTTGTACGAATGGACTATTTCGTGGAATTTGCCACTTAATGTTGACAAAAGTGGATTTATTAACATTGGCCGCTGCCTTAATTTAAATCTGGCTATACACAAACACACACTGAAACCTCTTAATACTGTTCGTGACTCGGGTTTAAGATATAACAACAGTTTGAACTTTTCTGAACACATTGCATCTCAAGTATCCAGAGCTAGAAAGCTCATCGGATTCATAGTGAATAATTTCAATAATATCGAATCGAGATTATTATTATACAGAAAATGTATCATACCAATTCTTGAATATCGTATTTTAGTTTACAATAATTGCAGGCATAATGACCCGATTAAAATTGAAGGTGTTCAAAGAGGGTTCACCAAAGCTGTTTTGGGGTATTCTGACAACAAAGACCATCACCAAAGATGTCAACAACTCAAACTAGAACCTCTCTGGATCAGGCGTATCAAATTAAATCTTATTTTTCTCTACCGGCTTCTTAACGGTATTTCTTACTCTTCGCTATCTACCCCATCATACTCTATGATACCGTCCCACAATCTACGCAATAAGGAAAATATTCTAGCGATTCCAAAAACCCACACAAATTTACGCTAGAATTTTTTCGTTATTCGCTACTCAACCATGTGGAATAGACTGCCAATGAACCTCCGATGCAGTGTAACTACAACCCGGTTCCAAAGTCTTCTTAATGATTTTGTTTCCGAAAGTGGATTGTGTCACCAATTGAATATCAACGTGCTTAACAATGATTTATACAAAAAAGGCCCGTCATCTATCTAACTGACTGAAAAGCAAAGTGAAACCTTTGAAACTTTTCATGTCTATTCTATTTCACTTCTATTCATCTTAATATATGAAGTCTGCTTATGTTCATATATATAATTATTACTGTTATTATTATCATTATTGGTCTCTCGACACATAAGATATTCTCTTCATCTCTTCTTGTCCTTCTAAACATATTTTATTCCTAAACATCCAAAGTCTATAATTAAAAGCAAACAAAAAACTCGATGTTACAAATAAGCTTTTCAGATTCAACTTATCTTCACCATACACATATACATAACATATAGAAATTTATATTTGATTATCCTTTGCAATTAATTGTGGCTATGATAGCATCATTCTATATTATTATTATTGCACTGATGTTTATACTAATACCCGGTTTTCACTCTGTATACTGTCACATAAATCTACACGTATTTATCCGAGTGCAGTAAAGGTTTATTATTATTGTCACTATTGTTGTTATTATTATTTTTAAATTATTCGTTTATCTCAAAAGTCTATAACCAATGCACTATTATGATAATGGTTGTACCCTTTCACTATGTGTTCATTTCTTTTCTCTCACTTTTTTTCCTTCTAAATAAATATTATTCTTAAGATTACGAAGCTGTGGATTAAAACAATAATTTGTGTTACGCCAAATTCAACTTATCAGACTCGTTTTATCTTCACTATGCATATACACCTCATACATATTGATTATCTTTTGCACTTAATTTGGACTTTCATAGCATCACTCCAAATTATGTCTGCACGCAAAACGCTTATTCTAACGTCATATCTTACCGCAATAATAAGTTATTTACTTAATAATTTATTCTATTTTATTTAATTTTTATTACTCGTTTTCGCTATACATACATAGTTGTTTATTCTTGTTCTGCGTTAAGATATATACGTATTCCACGTCTCCTTTATCTTTATTTCCTTAGTTTCTTCCTTTCCTCCTTCAAAATCAATTCAAAATTCTTGCCAATTACGCAGAACCGGATTTATTATTACTATTCCATTATTAATATTTTATTATCCTTTTCCTTCCTTTCTCAAACATGTTAAATGTAATGCTAACATTATTGAAAATTGTGTGTTATTGCATTTTTGGAGAAACTCAAAATGGTTTCTTTACAGCACTTATGTACCCATAAGATGTTTGTGAATATTAATAATAATAATAATAATAATAATAAGAAGAAGAAGAAGAAGAAGAAGAAAAAGAAAAAGAAGAAGTCAAATGTGGCTGTAAGCGTGATAGACAATAATCAATAAACTGAGTATAACACAGGAACAGCAAGTCATATAATAATAATCAATAGATCAAATTGAAGCTTATAATCAGATGAATATAGATATATATAGTCTAGTTAATGAATAGTTATACAATAATAATACAATAAAAATATATATAGAATAATTGTCCATTAATAGGTTCTGTGAGTTACCCGTACTTATGTCTTCGCTAGGATATAACATTTTTAAAACTTTTGCAGTTTTTCTATTAAAATTAAACGTCAATATTTGAAGGTGGAGACAATATAAACACTGAGTTATGCCTTAAAAAGCGATACGGGTGAATTCATAAAAAGTGGAGCCAGGGCTGACCTCTTGCCGAGGAATTATGTCAAAGAGACGAGCCAGCGGAACAATGGGGACGGTCATTATACCATCCAACAACCACCGAAAGACTATAGACAATAAAGTATTTTGGGACGTTTTGTGGGGAGCTATAAACATACATGGATACTGAAAAAAATTTTTTTTGACATTATATATGAAAAAATATTTAAAACCTCCCCTTTTTGCTCCTAACACAGGGGAATTTTAATATGCAACAAACTTCAGAAACTTGAAAAAAGGCTTATAAAATGTAATACATCCATTCCAGATAGCGTATTTTTGGACGTCTGTTGGACATCAGTAAGGCTTTGTCGTCGTCCTTAAGTATCGAGGATTGCATCACAGCAGTGGGAATTGTGCTTTTTGATCGTCTAATGGGAAAATCAACATAGATGGGAATTTCTTTTAAGAAATCAGCTTTCGGGTAGTCGATTATTTTATATTTAGTTCTATTTTCGTTAGTGGTGTAGTACCCGTATTCGTGACGTAGAGCAATATAAGGTTCTTTGTATTCAGCTTCGGAAGTTGAGTGTAACGTTTTGCGACTCAGGTAAACAGTTTTACTAAGTTTTGGGGAGACATGGACGAAAACATCGATTGATCGTGATCGAACGAGAGCAGGTCTGATTGGGTGTTTTGCATCATCAGAGGTGTTGGTGTACAAATGCTGATCCACATTCACTGAAGGAGATGAAAGATAAAGAAACTCTCTTGGAAGTCAGTTTCATTCCGTAAACGAGTTGTGCCGCTGTGTGTCCAACATCAGAGTTCACTTCATTGCGAATACCTAGTAATATGCCTGGAAAAGCGTCAGTCAGCTGTGGTGCGCTTACAACCGATAGTGAAGTATTTAGCTGTCTATGAAAGCGTTTTGCCAACCCGTTTGTTTGTGGGTTGTAGGCGATGGTTCAGAATTGTATGATTCCTAGCAGTTTGGTATGACAACGAAAAGTCAGGATTCAAACTGACGTTTACAGTCTGTGGTGATGCTTGAAGAGCAGATAGAGTTTTCTACTCATCGTTTGACAAAGGCTCGGGTCAATGTTTCAGCAGTAATGTGCTTGAAAGGAACTGATTCTGGTCATCGTGTGGAACGATACACACAGTTTAACGACAAAAATATACTGCGAAATCAAAATGAACATTGTCGAAACGAGTGTCAGACATTGCGAAGAAAAGTAAATGACATTTCTCATGTTCATCCATCTAATATTTCTTGGAGCTCACACATCAGTCTGCCCACGCTCACACGTCTCTATTCACATTAGGTATAAAAAATCGTTTTGCTACGTGCTTTCTGGCTACTCGAATACCTGGGTGGGAAAGCTTTTGTAGCGTATCGATAACGTTTCATTATCTTTTCTCATCCGTTTTATTCATATTTTCAGAGTCGTCGAAGATAACTCGTGCTGAAGATCGTTGTTGTCATTTAAAAGCTAAGCTTGGCTTGAAGAAATGTTTAAGGAAGTTATAAGATGCAAGACGTCTCCTAATACACTTTTTGCATACATCATATGTAGATAAAAGTTCATATTACCTTGAGGCTCTACCAACATGTGGTTGATATTCTTACTGACTTATACAGGAAGATTTGTAGGCTACTAATACATTTTAAAGAACCATGATAGCTGATTATAATCGACTTTTGGCATAGATATATGTAGTGGGATAAATCTAAGTACAAATCAACACTGAGATAAAAAAGAGAGTGATCACAGTGGTTTACAGACTTATTCAGTAAAAACTACCTATGGAATTCATAAGTAAAGTTAATAATCGGAATGAATTCCGATATTTAAAATAGAGCTCACCAGTGTAGATCACCACAGTGATCCGTGTATATAATTTCTGCTTGCTTTGTTTGGGTGGGAATGGTGTTGTCATATATAATATATATGAAATACTTTCGTATTATACCCAGGTTTCGATAATCAGGATTTTCAAACTATTCTTTGTAGTAGGTTGGACTTATTAATTTAAGTGCACCTTTGTGGTTCATCAAGTCATCTCAATCTTCTTATCCTTTTCTCCTCCAGATTCTCCGACATACATTCCTTTACCAGTAAATCAGACATACAACCCACCTTCAGAATAGACAGACATTTAAACTTGAAGGTCACAGCACTATATAATGAAGTTGAAAAAAAAGAACTTCAATAATTTTCTCAGGCTCTACCTTCTTTCTGCTTGGATAAGCATTTTTGAGCATGAATTAAGGTGCTTGATTTCTGTTTCCTCCTGAAGTTTGTTTCTTCACTCTGATTACCAAGGTTGACGTACTATAAACATTGCAAAGTTTCAACTGAGATTACAATGTACCGGTGTCTTTCCGGCAGAACGCCGTCGCTTATTCTGTTTGTTCTGAACGGATTTTCAATAGTAACAATTGTTTCTTAAACCTTAGCTGACGTTTAGTTGTTCGGGGTTGCTTTAATATCTCTTGGGATAGTATGTGTTGTTGACCATGGAAACATGTCTGAAGTTGTTGGAACCTCACTCTATTCGTCTGGAGTGTACATAGTCATCTTCTTAGGACTTGTTATCACAATCGTAGCTCTATGCGGTTACATTGCAGCTGATAAAGAAAATATCTGCTTGATTGTGTCAGTAGGATTTGCATAAAACCAAATTTCGAACATTTGTAGTATATATTCATTTTATGCTTGCTCGCATTACTCTTGTTGATATCAGGAATAATAGTTTTGTCGTTTAAGAGTTCAGTAAGTAAAGTTTAAAGCTTTTCAGTCACGTCTTTTACAATTTAGCTTGGTGAATCTGCTAGAAGTGTGATGGTAGCTTCGTTAAGGAATCACTATGGACGATATGGGATAATAACTGATGCATGGGACTTAGTACAGAGAAACCTACGTTGCTGTGGAGTGGATAATAGGGGGTGGGGCGTGTATAACGGATCATGGTGGGACATGATTGTAAACTCGGATTTATACGAAACAAACACTAAATTGTCAGGTATATACAGATTACTTTATGACTGTGATAAAGAGTCAAGTTTGTTTTACTTATATGTTCCAGAATCTTGTTGTGTCAAGAGACTTGATGGATTGACTGGTTGGCCAACTGAAATATACCGTGATAAGAGACGCTGCCAGACGTGGCAGTATGGACCACCGAATAAAAGCAGTGGACCCCACAACGACGCTATTTACTACGCAGTAATTTTTTTGACGGTTAATATGTAAACTTTATTCAGGGATGCTTTGAAAGTTTGAAAAGTTATATCGATAATTATGCTAAGGCTGTTGGCGTCTTGGCACTGATCGCATGTATTATCTTGGTAAGTTTAATTTTTTCTTAAATCTGTGTACAACTGAAGTACTGGTTATGGTGGCAGTTCACTGAATTCTGAGATGTCATTAGCATTTCATGGAGTTGTAGTTATAAATCAGATACTAATTCGATAGTAAAACTTAAATATATGGACCCAGTTAAATTGTTTGATAAAATAGGCACGTATTTGCATTGTACGGAAAAAATAAAATTGTATGGCCACTAGTTTAGCGATTGTATCTGGTTGAAAATTTACGAAAATGACGATCCAAACGATGGTGGACAATATATAAGTCAACAGAGCCAAATACTAGTAAATGCTGTGCTAAATAATTTCATAAAAATGGGCCTTCATATAATATCTTCCGACAAAATTATCCTTAATTGCACTAAATATCTAAACAGCCAACTCGAGTTGCCAATCTCAAAAAAGCAACTTACTAGTATGGCCTGACTGGTCTCAAGAGTTTTGGAGAATCACCGGATGAGTAACCACCGATGCAAATAAATAAAGTTTCAAACATCGCATCTGGTAGTAAAGGAATTTTCGTATTTTTAAAATCACGGACTACCGTAAATGAACTAGGTAATGCAAGGAACGAACCTACTCAGAAACTAGATATTTTATTACTTCTACAAATTTAATTAAGAACTCATCATTCTAAGTATACTCTGGGACATGTATCGTCGCTAAATCTTTACATTTCCTTGATAGAAATTATACTCTTGGGTTACCGTTGAAGTTTTTTGCATTCGAAAAAGGCGGATTTCGCCTGTTAGCTCAATGGTCGGACATAGTCGTTTCACAAGCTATTAGTATGAACAGTCCAGGGAGATGTAATCTTTTTGACTGATGTCCGCGCGATGATCGTACACATGATACTGCTTAAAATCGGGTAGTGACCCAAATACAAAGATTGTTTGTCTTTACGAGCTGAGATTTAGTCGTAGTTTTTGTTGTCATTGACACCATTATTTCGACTCTTGTTTTTTTACCTTGTTGACCCATTGTACCCGTGCTTACGTGAGATGTACTTAATTAAACCGATGCACTCATGTAACAGTTTCGACGTTTATGAGAGAACGCAACCTTTGTGTTCACAATGCCATAACTTACTGATATTTTTCAAATGTGCTATCTCATTTCTTTGAAATCTCCAAACACAAAACTTGATATATTTGATCGGGAATGTCCAAAATAATCAGTCTACTGTCTGTGTACTTTCGCCAACCAATCTTAAACATAAGCTTGATTGTAATAGAAAAATTACTGTCGTAACCGAATTAATTTTTAAATTTTCGGAATTATCAAACTCCTATCACTTAATATTTGAAAAGTTTCACAGACAAATTACAGTAGTTGCAGCCGAACAAAATGCACGTTTCTGTACTTAGCTCAGAACACAGTTTATGAGTTGAGGATATTAGTACTACCCGGATTCTAAGTTCATAAACACTGATTAAATCAACCTGAGCCAACTGTAGTAATCGCCAGAATTCTCATGAAGTTGGTCGCAAAATTTCGTGGATTGGTTGAGGTTAGACATTAACACTGTTGGATGCCGGCTCAGTGGTCTGTCGATTAAGTGCTCTGGCGCGATACCGGTAGGTCCTGGGTTTGAATCTCGTGAGGCGAGATCGTGGATGCGCACTGCTGAGGAGTCCCACAATAGGACGAAATGGCCGTGACTTTGGGGGACACTAACGTTGACAAGATAAATTGTAATTTATGTGTGAAGTCCTAGTAACTTATTTCTACCTGAAGTTTGTGCTGATGGTGTTGACCAGAAAGATAATGAAAACTTTACAGAAAAACCACTCAGCTCAGAGAGCGCAACTCCCTTGAAAATTGCTTGGTAATGCTCTTCGATTTAAATTGATATAAACCAGCGATTTCAGGTTAAACAGGTTGTTTCTGCGCAAATAAATCAGTCTATTGAAACTGGTTTTGTGGCATAAATATTACCTTCGTGTGTCATCCTTTTATCAATCTAAATTATTCTGTACGAAGTCAGTAATAAAGTAGTAATTTTTGGCTTCAATTATGATCCACCATCTTAAATATGGTTGTCGTAATCAAAATACTATATCTATATATTTTTTTTCTCTCTCATTGAATTCGAAAATCCAGATAAGCGCTTTGATCTGTGCTTTGTTTTTGTTCCGTGATGCTAAACTCAATGCTCAGAGAAAACAAGGAATAAAAAGTTGGAGGAACCAAACACAAAACAAGTAGATTGATTAAATAGTTAACTGGGATGCATTGAAGAAAGAGTGAAGCTGTGATTATACATTAATGGAAATGATTTTAATCGTATGTATTTTATTTTCATACTAAAAAGTAGTTAAAATATATTTATTTTCCAAAAACTGCCCTTATTATTTGTTATATCTTTCAAAAAATAACCTCTGAAAATTTGTGAGAACTCGACTTGTTTGACTGAGACCATAATACAACACAGGGGAAGCAGATGAACTTTTGTCTATTTGACAAAACGGTGGGCTTGTGGAGATTGTAGAAACTTTACTAGTTGAATTCAGGGGTCGATCTAAGCCAGACCACCGTTGAGAACTTGAAAGCAGTGGAAGGCCGTTTTGTCCTGGCATTGAACTGCTCAGCAGTGCGCATCCACGACCTTGCATGAGACTCAAACCCAAAACATTAATTCTTGTGCGCGAACGCTTAACCTCTAGACCACTGAGTTGGCAGCCAACAACGTCAATGTTTAACTTCAGTCGATCCATGATCTTGCTCAACCATCCATCCATTATATACTTCACTAAAATTAAAAATGATTTCGTTTAAAATAACACTTCGTAAGGTGTATGAGACAACATCCGTCTTTGCGAGTGGTTCGAGTGCAGTAAAGTGTGTCGCAAGCTTTAAAATGTTTGGGTTCCTAACGTTGTTATAAATCCTAAAAAATAACGTTGGACAAAACAACCGTTTGGAAGTATAAAATTTATTGTTCACATAAATATAATACACAATTACAGGAACTGATTATTTACAAATGTGTACAACGGTCACTTTGATCTCTTACCAAAACCACCAAATCCCATAGCTGCTGCGACGTCAGAATCTTCAAACTGTTCGTCATTTCTACGCCTTTTCTCTTTGCGTTTTTCTTGCTTATAAGCCCTAAATTTCTCTTCTTCCTCGGCGATTTGTCTCATTCTTTCATCTAAACTATACTCTTCTGCCTTTTCTTCAGACTTTTGCTTGTGAAGCTGAAACCTATAGCAGAGTTATAATACCGCAGTAATACCTTTCTTTAACTTCTTCTAAAGTTGACCTTTTAATTCTCATCGACATTCCCATATTCCTTTGATGTTTTTTACCATTTATATGGTCCAAATAGTTAATTGAATCTTTCACAACACAGTCACAAACTTCACAGTAGTAGCCTGCTTGTGAAGATCCTGGTCCGGTCTTTGCAATTACTTGAGATTTGTTCAGGTTAGATTCTAAGTCAATCTGTGTGATACTATTTGTTACAGTTTAAAGAAAACTTACTGTATAATCACGAGCTTTTAAATACTCTTTTTTCATAGTTTCCTTTTCTTTCCGAGCATTTCGCATAGCCTCTAACTCATTGCTAAGTTTATCATTCGCCAATTTCTCAAAATGAGCTTTGTCCCATTTTCTTCTGTGGTCAACAGGATTCTAAAAAGGATGTCTTTTCAACTCATTATACTTACGGTACCGGCCATCTTAGCAAGAAAAGTACTTCACTATCAAGGTGCTCTAAAAGAAAAGTTTTATTTAATCAATGCCAAGATTGGAATTTATAGTTTCAAATAAATAGAGCATTCGGAATAAATTCAATAATAAACATATTTTTGTGATAATGCAATGAGTTAAGAAATGCACTTCTAACATTTCGTGACTTAGTGTAAGTTAAGCTATGAATGTGGCTTACATCCAAGAATATCAAGATCTTAGGGGGGCATTTAACTCCGTTGGTCGACAAGGTTTTATGACAATGTCACGCCAAATTACATTAACCAATTACAGGCTTTTTACTTGAACACTAGTGGTAGAGTCAAAGCCTAAAGTGAACTTTCATCAGAAACGGTAAAGTCAAGTGATGTTTGTCAGGGTTGTCCACTTTCCCAATTTAAATTTAACTTTGCCATAATTATTTCCTTAGAAGCAACACTCACATCGTCTGACATTGCAGAAATCAATCTATCGGGAGACTCACTTCTTGAGCTGGAATATGCAGGTGGTAGTCCAATTCAGATTTTAGCTAAGATCGCAGTTGATCCCACTGCTCAAACTGGATCACCATCCTTGAAAGTCTCAAGGTTCATCAGGCTCAGCTGCTCTCCCTCTCTTTAGATTACTTTGTCTTTTTAACCTCACTGAGTTGAACGACCTACATCAGTTTGCCATTCAGGTTACTTGGAGATAGTGGGTAACTGAAATGTAGCTGATGGCTAGTTGAATTGTCCCCCAAAGTGTTCTCCCCATTGATCCAATCTCCTTTATTGAGAGTGAGTAGTAGTCCTTTCCTTTTCCGAGATAGTTTCACTAACAGCCAGATTTTTAATACCGGTTTCCTAGTTAATTTCGAATAGTTGTCTGTTGTTGCCTTTCGCCACAGATTTCCCATCTCTTTTGCTTTTGTTACCCACAATTGCTCACGGTCATTGTGTAGGCTTTTAATCAGTCTACGTCTGAACCGCCTCAGCCCGTCATTGTGTTCGGAGCCAGACAGGATGAGCACCTATCAGTTTTGTAGACGTCGCTGAAACCTGCTGGTTGTCCCTAACTTTTTGTTTGGGTTTTTGGTAGATATCGCTGCCGTTTCCACAGCGTTTTGTCCATCGTACTGAGCTATCTCGGAGTGGATAACATTTTCACGGTTGACTAGCAGTTTCCCTAGTTTTCCCTGAAAAATATTCTTGAATTTTCCAGGATTAAGTAGAACTCTTAGGAGTTTTCTTGTCACTGTTTTACGTCCAGTAATATCCCCAAGTGCCCTGGTACGGTCGAGGGTGTGAAGTCCGCTTTCACACTCAAAATGCACTCACGTAGCCTTAGGTATACATGCAGTACATTTTTCTACAGTAGATCGATTTATGAGGAATGAATACGATCAAAATGTGGTGGGAACCATATAATATATAGCTATGTTTTGTAAAGATAACTTGAAAGTGTTATTAGGGATTAGAAATATAACACTTGATAATTTAATGCTCCCACATGGCCATGCGTATACAGCCACTACCAGGGAAGTCCTACTCACTGCCTTCTCTTTGCAAGGGCGTTGTTTTCGAAATTGAGAGGACGAAAAGCAAATGTCCAACGTTTTAATTGGGTTGGCGGTTATCGAGGATCCGTTTAGTGAGAGTTGGAAAACGCTGATTCGAAACAAATGGGGAAATAGAGCTCCGGAACCCTGAGCAAACAAATGGCATATGAACCTATTGTTGGTCTCCGGCTACGATGGGGCTGCATCTCCGTTACTCCACTGCCTTGCAAATTAAAGTCGAAGGCTCCGGGTGTAGCCCTTTAAGAAAACCACCTGCTTCGGTTTGGGCACCCTGACATTATTAGAGCCCGCACACAAATCAAAGATAACTACTACTAGCCTCATTGATATTGTGTGGCGTATTTGTATTTCGTGCTCCCTTGTATCAATGTTTAAGTGTTTAAATAAACAAACAAGGATAAAATAATAACGTTCAGTAAAACGCAGACAAATACGCGCTCGTACTAAAGTATGATCTGAGTCTAAATATGTATGTATCTAAATATGTAGTCTATTTATTAATTGGTACAAGGGGGCAATATATACAAATGGACCACACAATGACATTGAGGTTGTGAAGAGACAGAGGAGGGTGGATATAACAATAAGATGACCACAAGTGAACATGAATCGGTGAGTGAGAGTGGAATAATATTAAAAATAATGGGAGAAGCAGTTCAATTAGAAGAAATACAACCAGAAAAAATTCTTCCAATTAAAGAATTTACGTTCAGTTTTATGAGGAAAGTAAAAGAAATTTACAGCAGGATCGTTTCCGACTTCTATTCTGCCAGTCAGCTACAACGTAGGACCAGGCACATTTATGCATTGGTCCAAGTTGCCATACCTCGTCAGCACAACAAGATGGACACCGGATTCATAGAAGTAGTTAATTTAGTGGTATTAGTATATAAAAGATAAGTTGTATATAAGGATATAGTATAGGAAGGAAGACTTCTGATAACGTCAGAAGCCACTGTGTTGCACCATCTCTGGGGCAATCACATGGAAAATTTACATAGGTAAGTGGGATGTCCCCAAATGCCCTAGTACGGTCGAGAGTGGGAAGAGTTCGCTCTCCCTCTCGAAGTGCTCTCACATGGTCACGCGTCTAACGCCTCTGCTAGGGAAGTCCTACTCATTGCCTTCTCGTGGTATTACTGTTGTTTACGAAATTGAGAGGACGAAAAGCGAATGTTCGGCGCTTTAACCGGGTTGGTGGACACGGAGGGTTCACCTAAGGGAGTTGGAAACCCCTGATTTCAAACCAATGGTGTACATGGACCCCAGTAACCTGAGGAAACGAATGGCACCGGCTACTAGAGGACTGTGTCTCCCCACGATGCTTCGCTGCATTGTGGATCAGATTTTTAGGTAAAAGGTTCCAGGTGTGGCCCCCTAAGAAAACCACCTGCTTTGGTTTGGGCACCCGGGCAGTATCACAGCCCTCACACAAATCAAATGAGATTTGTGTGGCGCATATGTATTTTGTGCCCCTTTGTACCAATATTTATGTGCTTAAATAAATAATAATAAATGTCCGAACAATGTGGGAGGATCAATAAAATAGCTGTTGAAATGAGGAGATACAACATGGTGGTCCTCGGAATCGGTGAAACCCTGGACAGAAAAGATTAGATTCGAAATATGAGAAAGCATTTCACAGTGTGGATATGAAAACCTTATGGGAACTTCTCCGACACTATGGTGTACCTGATAAAATCGTGAACATCATCCGGAATTCATAAGACGAACTACACTGCAAAGTCGTGCATGGAGAACAACTGGCAAATGTATTCCAAGTGAAGACCAGTGTCAGATAAGGTTACTTACTCTTGTTCTTTCTCAATCTTTTGGCGGTTGACTGAATTATAAATATCGTACATCATGGAAAGCACGGAATACAATGGACAGATTGGATGCGGCTAGACGATTCGGATTCCTCAGATGACCTATCTCTTCTATTTCATACACACAACAATAAATGCAGGTGAAGATGCCCTGTGTAGCAGCAGCCTCTGCAGTAGTATACCTAAGCATACACAAGGGAGAATCCAGGAACCCAAATTATAATGCAATGAGCACCAACCAATTCACTCTTGATGTAGAAGCTTTGGAAGAGCTGTGAAGTTTTAGGTACCTGGACAATATTATTGATAAACAAGGAGGATTTGACGTAAGTGTGAAGGCATGGGTTGCCAAATCAAAGGCAACATTCCTACAATCGAAGAAAATATGGAACTCAAAACAATTGACAGCCAACGTCGAAGTCAGGACCTCTAATAGGAGTATCAAGACAGTTCTATTGTAAGTAGCTGAGACTTGGAAAACAACAACCTACTGTAGTAGAGAAAAAACCGGGTTCAATCTGAAGAGGGATTTAGGAAGCATCGCTGGTGTGGGTAGCACATATATTGCGGATATCATCAAACTTGATCACGAGGCAACCCAAACCTAGGAGTTCTGAAGATAAAAGGAAAGGAGACAGACCAAGAAACAAATTGTGAGGGTAATCGCAAACAGACAACGGAAGAATGGATCGCAACTAGAAAAGATTGTCCAGGAGATAGTTCGATGAAGAATCCTGATGTGCGGCAAACGTCCCTCCCCCACGAGAGGTAACAGGTGTAAATAAGTAGGATGTATGACATTCTTAGGGGCAACATTTTACAAGCCCTACCTTCCGTTATGAGAAAGCAGCATCGCTACAGATGCTGGATTTTTGAGATAAACATTTTGCTGCTTTTACATCCATTTACGACTTAGCCCTCGGACTTTTAGTTGCTGTTTTTAGTCTTGATGTTCTTCATCTGACCTTGTGTGGCGCATATATATCTGGTACCACTTTGTACCAATATGTATGTGTTTAAATAGATAAATAAATAACCATCTGACCTCCCCGGTATGGTAGGACCTAAAGAAAGGTGTTTTAGCCAATACGGTTTGGTTGAATCACGACGACGGACAAGCCCGACCACCACGCCAAGGCAGTAGCTACTCAAAAGCAGCTGTTTATACATATTAGATGACATCTTAAGGCACAAGGAGAGAGTGACTGAAATAATAGCAAAGAGATAGGGTCAAAAATATCATGCTGTGATCCTAAATGAGTGAGGTGCAAGATAATCGCACCTTTTGGAGCGCAGTGGGCGAGACTATAATTTATGAACGAGCCAGTCAAAAGCGTCCGAGGGATTTCAAGGCGTCCACACAAACAATATTGGAGCTATGTAGTATAGGTTGAGAGAGTATGTGCGACCTTACCATGGCCCAAGAGATCGACTATTATGGAGCCATATGGATGAGTTCCTCTTCCTTATGGATTACGATTTTAGAACTCTTGAACCTACTTCTAACTCTGAAAAGTTTTTGGACCATGTAAAAAAAGTGCGTCCATTTTGACTCTTTGGCATTGCATAACATATTTTCATTCTGCACTAACTGTTATCTGATTTGTTGGCGTTTCTCAAGGTCAGTTGAGATTCGTTTAAAGGTCGTCCATAAATTATAGTCTCGCCGAAAATACTTTCAGGTTACGACTTGAGGATATAAAGGTCATCTATATACTCAAGGAAATATAAGGAGTGTAGATCACACCCTTTCCAGGTCAGATACAATAGGTTTGGTAGAGGAAATCTAGCTCTTTGTATATCGGTTGAATATGCCAACCTACCAAAAGTATGGGTTCTGAAATATTTAAAGATATCAAAGAGTTAGCTTATGCATCTCCTGCTAACTCGGATAATTATTTCTCTGTAGGGACTTAATAGTTGGGTTATGTATACTTTCTTAAAAATATCCAATTTGCCAAAAGAAAATTAAATAACCCCGTAAATTCAGTTTCCCAGTTTGACGTTAATTCCTTAAGATTATTTTACATTATTTTTCTGACAAAACATTCCAAATTCCGCGTTTAATGACCTAAACCTGTTATCTCATTTACATAAATTTTAAACGATATCCAATCACTGTTTAATCAAACAATCATATGTAGTATTTTCATGGTGATAAGTGGACATTATTAACAGTTTTAACCAATGAGAAGTTTTACATTCATTTGATATCCGGTCCACTGACATGAATCATAATGAAGCTGATTCTCAGCAAACATATTTTGTCAGAAATGTATGGAGACATAAAACGGATGAACACAAATCTGGTTACAATATTACCGGCACGCCACACCTGTAGTTCTATACCCCCTAATTATCATTTCCAGTACCTGCGCATTCATCTAGTATAATTGTCTCTTTTATGAAACAGCTTGGCTTATGTCATCTCTACAGTGCGTCGTTTTACGAGGCTCTGAAAGCCATATTTCTACAGGTAACCTTATATTATATTCGAAGATAATTATCACTTAAGTGAAATGAGAATGGATAATTCCCGCCAAAAATTGATATTGCTTATTTTCCTGATTGTTTTTTGTTCATGCAGTCATTATTTGTGTTCCTGTTCCAGTAGGGTCCTACTTTTATTTGGTCCTTAATGACCTAATTAGGTTTGGCCATCAATTGGCAACACGAAAATTGCAACACTCAACATACGTACTTAGACTTTCATTGATATATGAAAGAAAAACGTCAGAGTTTTGAATACTTTGAATAGGTATATCAACGAAAGTAAAATTTCATTAGGGTTACGTAGTAATCAGTAGTTTTAATCTTTCGGAACATATCTAATTGGCACGAATCAAAAACCAAACAGTTGAAACGGTTGTGTACGACAAATAAGCACGCTTTAATGACCTACCTGAGATTGTCAGTATAAATGTACTGCTGCAAAATAATCACGTCTAACACTATATGAACACTGTTACGCAACCGTCAAATCCTTGCCAACGTAGAACTGTCCGAATTTCAATACTAATTGTTCAAATGGTTGTGGACGGAATAGAGGAAGCCTTCACTTAACGGGCTTCCGTCTCTAGTAGCAGTGGATCACCAATACTTTCAGGGGGGATCTAGGTATATTATCAGTAAAAGAGGAAAAAGAAATTGGTAAATTATAGTAAGATATTATCCTTAGTCCATAAGAATAGATCAAGTTCTCTCCTAAAGGACTCCTGAGAAGTCGCTTGGACTAGCTCAGCCGGCACCGAATTCCAGCATTTGACAATTCTTAAGGAGTAGCAGTTGTGTCTACAGTCCGTTCCGCTGTGTTGAGTTTCCAGTTTCTGAGTGTTACCCCTTAGGTTTGTATTGGGATTAAGATTAAGTAGGTGTTTAACGGGATGTCCAGAAGTATTTAGGATGCTGAAAGCCATTAGAATGCAACCTCTGAAACGCCTGTTTAGTGATTGAAGGCGCTCTTCACAAGGCTTGAATTTGAGTCCCCGAACTGATTTCGTGGCTTGCCGTTGGGTACTTTCCAGTGTTCTTATTTTTCTGGAGGTAGGGAGGAAATACTATGTCCTCGTACTCTAAATGAGGATGAATAAAACTGTTGAAGATCATTTAGAAAGTTCTACCGTCAAACTGACCAAAAATGCTCTCCAATGTTAGCAGTGCAAGATTTGCTCGAAAGGTATTTTTGTTACAGTTAACGTAAGACTTCAAATCGTAGGCTGCCAGAAGTTCCAAATCATTTTTGACTTGGGATTCTTCCAGAGAGGAGTTCCCTAAGTTGTAACTATAGTCTACAGCATGTAGCAGGTGGACTACTTTACACTTTGAAGTTTTGAAGGTAAGTCCGTTGTCATTTGCCCAACTTTGAATTCGAGTCAGATCCTCCTGAATTACCATTATATCCTTTTGGTTACGTATCTCTCTCCAGAGTTTCACATCGCCAGCAAAAAGAAATAAGTCAGATGAAACCTGTTGTAGAAGATCGGTAATGTAAATCAAGAAGAGAAGAGGTGCTAGTATTTAACCCTGGGAGAACCCACTAGGACATTCGATAGCCTGAGAGATTGGAGTTAACCCTGACCTTAAAATGTCGATTTTTTAGATATGAAGCGGGCCAGTCAATTAGAGGTGGTTTGATACCCAAACGTTTAAGCTTATTGATAAGACTTATATGGTTGACCCTATCAAAAGCTTTTGAAAGATCAAGGTAATGATGTTAACCTTCCGTTTGCAAACATGAATGCTTATCCATCTGTCCACCACAGTCAGCAGGTTGGTTATGCAAAAGTGACCCTTCCTGAAACCATGCTGTTAGGTAGAGAAGAAGTTTAAGGATAATAAGTATTCGTGTATATCATCGCATATCAGGGACTCTAATTTTTGAAGGTGTAGAGAGAAGGGCCACCGGTCGGTAGCTTGAGGGTTCGCTGTGCCGACCTTCTTTGAAAGTTGGTGTGAAGTGAGCCACCTTCCGAATTTCCGATCGTTTGTCAAGACTTTGGGAGTGTAAGAACATCACGCTGAGCAGTGTTGCCAGGATTGAAGCTGCTTCCCTCAGTATAACAGAATGAAACATTTACGGTCCAGGAGAAGTGTCTTTTCTTACATTCTGCAGTCTACGGAACACCAGGTCAGCGCTCAGGTCCACTTCGGAAAGTCCTGTGCAGTTGCAGATGAAGCCTCCATCAGTGTGGTGGATATGGGTTGGTTGAAATATGCGAGAGTATTGTTCAGCCAAACGTTTAGCAGCATCACCGTCGTTATTGGTCGGGCATTAGAAATTGGCAGTTAAAAACCCCAGTTTTGGCTTGTCGAAGAAAAGCTACATAACGGAATGAGCTTCTCGGGCTGGAAACAAATTTATCGATAAGCTTGGTCTGGTACTGGAGCCTGTTTTATTACCTTTGTGCATATGTTCCTTATATGTTTGTATTGCCTGTACATGGCGTTGTTATCAGTTCGTTTGTGTTCAGCCCAGCAGTGTCTTTTGCTGTTTAGTAAACGAAGAGCGCGGTTCTTTGATGATTGTAGGTTGCTTGTAGCGTTTGAGGATCGGTTTAGGAACAGAATGCTTTGTAGCACATAAGAGCGTGTGCAGTGAGAAATCCCAGTGATCTTTTACTTCAAGGTAGTGGCGAACATCCCAATCAACCTGTTGTAGATAGTCCTGTAAAACTGGCGCATTCAAGCGTTCGAAATTCCAGCGCCTGTTGCTGGTGGGACGTCTTAACTCAGTTTTGTTGACAAAATTGAAGGCTATAACGTCGTGATTGCTTCTTCCCAGGGGAGCCAGAATTGAGAGATTGTCGACTAGGAATTCTTCATTTGTAAATACACAGTCTAAGAGCAACAGTTTCTCACTGTTTCCTAAACGAGTTGCCAACTTCACATCTTCGAATGGTCCCAGATCCTCGATGAGGTTAAAGAACCGATCTTCAGTTAAGTTTTCACCTCCAATATACGTATGTCCTGCAAACTTCAGTCTAGAATCAGGATATGATGAATCCGAGACGCGTAGAGCAGAATAATCCATTCAGAATACGATATCAACGATTAACTTCCTGTAGATGACCATAACTAGACACCTCGAGATGGCAGACAATCTTACTGAGCATCATACGGATTCATCAAGATTGAGAAACTCTTGGTTGTGAACTTGGCGTACCTTCAGGCATGATCGTATATACAAGCCTACTCCGTCCTTCATTCCTCTTTTTCTGTCGTTGCGAAACAAAGACATCCCAAGTATTGCCAGCTCCTGGTCCGTAAACTGAGAAGATATCCAAGCTCCAGATGTCCCTATCAGATGAGCATTATTAGCAATGCGAAGTTCACTTAGCTCATCCATTTTATTTGGTAAACTTGCGGCGTTCATGTGCAAGCATTTAATGCTTTCAATTTGAAACACGTGAGCTTTTTCCTGTTTGTCCATATGAGCCTTATGTGAATGGACGGGTAGCCTACCCATTCAAGGTTCTCCGAGTTGGTAGTCCCTGTCATTTACACCTTTTTTGTAATCAAGACAGTCCACAAGTTAAAGTGTCGGCTACACCTTGCTTTTGTGCTTGATCCTGGTGTCGTGTGGCCTATCCGGATTCATATGGATTCCAGTTGGCAACCGACGTCTGTTGGCACAAAATCCTTCCGGAGTTGCAGCCGACACATGAGAGGATGTGCAAGTTAGCTTCATTAATACGTCGTTTGTGCCGCACGTTTGTCCAGGTAGCCATAGCACCTGGATACGACGAAAGGCTAGCGCACGTAGGATACTGTGATGTGTGACTTTTACGTTAGACCGCCCCCAATCATTCGACACAAACCAACTACGTTGGTGATCTACATTGGTGAGCAAGACACATAATAACACAGTCTATTAATATAATCCTCATTTTTTAGTTCTACACCTATTCTTTTTCATTCCTATCGTCCCTCAAGTTCGCCAATTACCGTGAACATTTGCTGTTTTATGTTAATAATGATTAAGATTTAAGCTTAACTAATTAGTTCGATGGATAAATCTCACCAGTATGCTACGATTGTAACAGGGTATTATGATTCTTTAACAAGCATTAGCGACATGTAAATGTTTCTGTGTAATGTCAGCTAAAATACCAAGCACTCATATATATGACCAAAAATCAACACAATTGCATATATCTCAGTATCTTATGTGAGCAAGACAAGATCAAATATAGATTAAAAATTCTTCTTCCGGCTTATTTACTTTAAACTTTTTTCCATCATAACCCATTAACTAGAATATTTTACTTGACCTCTGCCTGCCTAATCACCCATTTCTGCGTTCGTGGTGGTCAGATGATACAAATGAGAAAAAATCTCGGTGAGTCTTAACCATAAATTTAAGACAATCTTGGATTTTCTTCAGATTGTTTGTCAGACAGTGCCATGAATTTTGCCGAAATTATTTTGGACTTATACAGACTCAGTCTGCAACGTTATACTAAATGAAGAACTACAGCAACAATCTTCATATCTTAGAAGTGAGATTATTCCGGGCAAGTATCATAACTGCACTAAATTATCAAGTGTTATATTTCTAATCCCTAATAACACTTTCAAGTTATCTTTACAAAACATAGCTATATATTATATGGTTCCCACCACATTTTGATCGTATTCATTCCTCATAAATCGATCTACTGTAGAAAAATGTACTGCATGTATACCTAAGGCTACGTGAGTGCATTTTGAGTGTGAAAGCGGACTTCACACCCTCGACCGTACCAGGGCACTTGGGGATATTACTGGACGTAAAACAGTGACAAGAAAACTCCTAAGAGTTCTACTTAATCCTGGAAAATTCAAGAATATTTTTCAGGGAAAACTAGGGAAACTGCTAGTCAACCGTGAAAATGTTATCCACTCCGAGATAGCTCAGTACGATGGACAAAACGCTGTGGAAACGGCAGCGATATCTACCAAAAACCCAAACAAAAAGTTAGGGACAACCAGCAGGTTTCAGCGACGTCTACAAAACTGATAGGTGCTCATCCTGTCTGGCTCCGAACACAATGACGGGCTGAGGCGGTTCAGACGTAGACTGATTAAAAGCCTACACAATGACCGTGAGCAATTGTGGGTAACAAAAGCAAAAGAGATGGGAAATCTGTGGCGAAAGGCAACAACAGACAACTATTCGAAATTAACTAGGAAACCGGTATTAAAAATCTGGCTGTTAGTGAAACTATCTCGGAAAAGGAAAGGACTACTACTCACTCTCAATAAAGGAGATTGGATCAATGGGGAGAACACTTTGGGGGACAATTCAACTAGCCATCAGCTACATTTCAGTTACCCACTATCTCCAAGTAACCTGAATGGCAAACTGATGTAGGTCGTTCAACTCAGTGAGGTTAAAAAGACAAAGTAATCTAAAGAGAGGGAGAGCAGCTGAGCCTGATGAACCTTGA